GGGCGCAGGGCACAGGCTCCGCTCTCTCCCCTAGGCTGTTCGTTCCAGGCTGGGTCCTCCATCCCCACGCTGCTCCCCGCGCCTTCCTCCCCCCACTATTTCTTCAGCTCCTGTTCTGTGCCAGGCGCTCTCTGCCCAGAGCCGACGCCTACGGAGGGCTCCCTCTCCCTGCCTGTGCAGCGGCCCCTCTGATGTTGGGGAACCCGTGGGCGCCTTCTCAGAGTGACCTTTTTAAGCCCGCACTATAAAACTGATAAGATTCAGAGGAAACTAATTATAATAAAAATGCAGTTATCAAAACATTAAGAACAAATCGTGATGGAATAATATATGTGCTTCTTTATGAGCGCACTAAATCATAAAATTTAATAAGCCGCTGTTGTTTTGAAAGAGGATTGAGCGTAAGTGATATTTCACGTTCTCCGCCACAGTTACACCAGGACTCGAGCGATCCGCACCGTGTGGGTGACAGAGGCCCGGCTTCTGTGGCCGTTGCGGTGACCCGCTGCTCGCAGAGCGGAAGCGCTGCTCAACTGCAGACGAAGCAGGATATATATGTGGGTTTTTTTTTTTCCAGGGCCACACACGCAGATCCTTGAGTGCCAGCTGGGGAGGTCCCAGGTCTCTCCTAGTGTCTGCAGACAAATGGAAATGGGGACCCTTCACGGGGGGTGCAGGGCAGGGGACCGGGCCCGGCGTGCTGTGCTGGGGTGGCGATGAGCTTGCATGGGGCGGAGGCAGAGGCCGTGGGGGAGTGGGCGACTGCCTCCTTTGAAGCCGCAGTGGGGTGGAGGGAAGTGGTCAGAGTTGGCCATGGATTTCTGCAGGGTAGAGGTGCGGGGTGAGAGAGGGCCCCATCACGTCCCGACCCTGCATCCACGGTAGCTCTGGTGAATGCCGAGCTCTGGTGAGGTCCCCAGTGCCGCCCGAGATGTGATGGTTTGGATCCGGTTGTGCTACCTGTGCCTGGCCTGGCAAGGCGCCTGCAGACACTGAGGCAGGAGCGCTGGGGCCGCCGGGGACCCCACTGGGCGGGTGTCAAAGCCGCTGGTCCCCACCAGCCAGCAGCACCTTGTGAGTGGGCAGAGACCGCTGAGCCACCCAGGATTCCCCTTGCAAGAGCCCGTCCCCGCTCCGTGGACACGGATGACCCCTGTGTCCCCTCCTTCCCAGGCAGGTCGGAAGGGCCTCGGCACAGCCTCCCCTCCTCCAGGGGCGTTTCCGAAGGCAGCACCAGACCAGCCCGGGCACAGACTGAAAAATCAGCTGCCTTCAGTGCAGCTTTGACCACGTTTGTTGGATGAGTGAATGAGGCAAAGATGGGCAGGGGAATCTAATCCCTCCACCCCCTCGGATTTGTTCTTTTATTTTCTAGACGTGCAGCATGGCGGACACGGCCGCGGTTCCAGGGCCCGCTCTCAATGCCGGGGCTGGGGCATCTTGGTGAGGCCACCTGGCCCAGTACTGTGGCCGGGGACACACAGTGTCGCTTCTCCTATGTCCCTCTGCTCACGTCCACCCACACCTTTCGACTGCATGATTGTCCAGGAAGCCGGCCGGCACCCCCACTTTTGTCTCCACCCCACCCCACCGTGGGGCTAGATGGGGGAGCTGTGGACTTCCTGCTTGTCTTTCCCTGGCAGTTGCAACCCAGAAATGTTCCCTTTGGGAAGCCGGGAGGGGCTGAAGATTCCTAAAGCCCAGTCCAGAGATGGGCAAGCTATGCCCGTGGGTCCAACCCGTGCATCCTGTGTTTCTGGATGGCTCCTGAGCTGTTGGTGGGTCCTGGCACTCTGGGAGGCTGAGGCAGGAGGATTGCAAGTTTGCGTCCAGCCTGGGCATCTAGTGACTTAGTAAAACTGTGTCAAAACAAAAAATAAAGAATAGGTTGGGGATGTAGCTCAGTGCAAAGGCCCTGTGTTCAGTCCCCAGAAGGGAAAGAGGAGGAAGAGCAGGAAGAGGGCCATCAAGAATAGTATTTGAAGGGCTGGGGATTTAGCTCAGCCGCATAGCGCCTGCCTGGCAAGCGCAAGGTCGTGAGTTCGATCGCCGGTACCAGAAAAAAAAAACAAAAAAAAGAATAGTATTTGACACGCAGATTGATAGGAAATTGGAATTTCAGCACCCGGGAATGAGTTGCCTTGGGAGCCACCCAGCCCTTCTATGCTTCCTGCCTGTGTATCCCGGCGGTGCAAGGGTGCAGCGCTCATATGCACTTCCTGACCTCACCGAGCAGGGCGGGACCCGTGGAGTCTGCGGCTGCAGTCCAGTGCCCGTGACAACAGGAGCCAGTCCTGAGCCCCTCCTACAACCATACGTCCCCCTCAGGGCGCTTTGGGGGTTCTAGATTGGCCTGTGTGACACCCGGCACACGTGGGCACAGCGTGGCGCTCTGGGGATGCTCACCTGCCTGGCCTGGAGGGTGCCCTTAACTGGCAATGCCACCTCCAGGCAGGAGCGGCACCGTTCAGCCAGGGAAGGGCGGGCCGCAGGGACTGGGGCGGGTGGAGGGCTGCTGCAGGGGAAAGTCTCGCGTTGCATCCTAAGAGGCACGGTGACGGCCAGGGCTCACGGAGCGTATCGTCCCGGGCGCGCCGTCCAGGCGTCCCAGTGTCGGCGTCAGCAGGGGGACTGCGGCCCGTGCCCATGCTGTCCTCGCCGGCCCCTCTGCCACCTTGCAGCCACTGCCCCAACCCTAACGGCCTGCCCAGGTTGGGGATCCCAGGAGCCACGGTGGGCACTGGGCCGGTGCGCCCCGCCTGGCTGGCAGCCTCCCTCTCCCCTCCCGCTGCGGCTTTATTAATTGTTTATATTGCAGCCTGTTAATTGGCAATAACCGGCATGCTGAAGTGTCTTTTAATCACCCCTCTCAGGGCCTGAGGCGGCGAAGGGTTGGTGGATTCAATAAAGTGAGGAGGAACTAGCACACCTCCTCGTCGGTATCGGGATCGTAGTCAGATAAACTGCCAGCACCTGCCTCACAGGCCGCCAGGGAGCCCCGCCCCTCCCCGCCCCGCCCCACCGCCGCCTGCGCGCGCACGCAGGTGCTCCCAGGGACCACCCGTACGCATGCGCGCACGCGCACACAGGCGGTAGCCCCGCCCTGGCTTCCCGTGCAGTCCTCATGCGCTCTTCATTCTGTTATTTCTCATGCACATATGACAAGACCTGTCACTGCCCTGGGGTAAACTGAGTCCCAGGGGAGACAGGTGAGGGCAAAGAGGAGGCTGCCCACTGTCGCCTTCCTGGAGAGCCAGGCTGACGCCCCTCAGCCTGCAAAGGCCTGAAACCCCATCTCTCCCTGGAGAGTACACACCAAGGCAGGGCTGGACCTGCGGGGTGCGAGGGCCGTGGGGGGAGCGCTACCCTCTGGGGCTTCCGGAGGGCCTGGCCTTGTCCTGAAGGACATCCGGGGTTCCCCAGCAGCACCAGCCGGCCTTACGCTGTAGAGAAAATGCTTCATCAGCACCGTGACCAGGCACTGCGGGAGGCGGCGTGTGGGCAGAGCGCGTCTCATTCTTCTGTGGCCCCGTCCCCTCTGCGCCCTCCCTGCCCTTCACCTCTGTGCCCTCCCCATTTGCAGAGCATCAGTCTCCTTGTTTTCTGTTATCTCACTTTTTTGTTTTGTTCTTTATTTATACTTAGGTTTCTCATTTAAGAGAAACTGTGATATGCAAGCTTTTCTCTTTTCTGCTGAACTCCAGAAGATCACCAGTAGGTATTTAAGCTTGTGCTTCTGATGTATGTCACTTAACATTATGTTGTCAAGGTGCATCTATTTTCTTACAAATGACTCAAGTTTATCCTTCTTTATGGCAGAGTAATACTCCATTGTAGGTGAATACCACATTTTCTTTATTTGTTCATCTGTGAATGGATATACAGGCTGCTTTCAAGATTTAGCTCTCGTGAACTGTGCTGCTATAAACATGGGCACACGTGTCTCGCTGTAATACGATGACCCAAACTCTTTCAGGAAGACACCTAAGGGGAGTAGCTTGGTTGAGTGAAATTTCTGGTTTTAGTATTTTGAGGACTCTCCATACTGATACTTATAGTGGTTGTACTAGTTTACATTCCCACCAGCAATGCCAAAGTGTTCCTTTTGCCCTCAGCCTCCCCAGCATTTGATATTATTTGATCTTTTGACGGTGGCCATTCTCTCTGGGGTCGGATAGAATCTCAGTGTTGTTTTCATCTGCGTTTCTTTGGTGGTCAGAGATGCTGAACATTTCTGATGTATTTATTGGCCACCTGTACTTCTTCTGAGAAGCGTCTTGTTTATTTCACTCACCTGTTTTATTGTCAGCCCTACGCTGAAGTCCTTGCATGTTGGCGGCTCTCCTCTCCGCCTGTCCTGTCCTGTGCCTGGGGCTCCCATATCCCCCCCCCCCCCGGGACACACCGAGCCCCAGCCGTGCTGCGGGGCCTGGCCTGGCCAACCGCGCCTGCGCTGCCTCCCTCAGGACGGGCTGGGATGCAGATACACGAAGCCCAGCCGCTGCTGTGAGCTGACAGGGACATCCCACAGCTGTCTCTGTTCTCCCTTCCCCGAGGCTCCGTCCCCAGGAGGCCTCAGACCTCCCTCCTAGGCGCTCACTCCTCCGGTGACCTCCTGCGGCCCCATAAAGTGGGCCAGCACCGTCCTCTGGCACCTAGGACACCCGGAGTGTCTGAGGAGCCGTGTCTCAGCGGCTCCATGTCCCGGAGACCTGCTCCTGATGGCTGGAAGTCACCCCAGCTAGAGTACTGTGGAGCTGGTCTTCTGTGTCCCCGTCTCAGAAGGATCCCAGCGCGCCACTGTCCCCAGGGCTTTTGCGCTTATGATGATTCACATCACAGGATTAGAGTGAGAATTTGATAGGATTAGGCTGACTGAGAATGACAGAGATACACTAGCAACAAATTAAACAAGATAAAAATGTATTTCTCTCTCTTGCACGGGTCCAGGATGATGCAACTCTGCTGTCCTCAGAGACCTTGGGCCTTTTTTCTTTTTCCTTAGTGGCTTCCACTCCAGGGACCTCCTGTGGTCCAAGAGGGTTGCCACAGATCCAGCCATTTCCTCCTTTTTCCAACAGCTGAAAGGGCAGAGGGGTGAATAAGAATAAGAAAGGGTGTGTATCAACTGTCTTTAATGAACTTCCTAGATGGTTCCACTGGCCAGAACTCAGTGAGACTGACCGCTCCTAGCTGCAGGAGAAGTCTTTATATTCCAGAGCCAGCTGGAGGAGGGGTGAGCAGGTATTGCAGGGAACAGAGCACACCTAATGCGCTCCCTGTGCCCGGGGTCACTGCCAGGTGCCTCGCTCCACTCCCCGGCCCCTGGAGGCCCTGGCCCCTGCCATGTTCTCCCTGCTCCCAGCATGGCTCAGCCGAGGGAACTGGGCTGTCTGCAGACCCCAGCCCTCCTCATAGTCCACACCGGGACCCTGGCATGGTGACCTTTGGCAAAAGTCCCTGGAGCAGAAGCTTTGCCCACTGCACTGGTTTTCTGATCACCTCTGATAGTTCAGCTTCATTCATTCATTCAACAAATGCGCTCCAGGCTGGGAGCCCGAAGCAGAACAAAATTCCTGCCTCTCAAACTCAAGTGTGAGGGGTCGCCGGCTCACTGCCCTGGCTTCTTCTCATCCTCTTCCTTCTCCCTCTTCCTGGTCCCTGTGAGCAGAGCAGAGCTGACCTCACTGCTGGTTCCAGGGGGACACTGACCTCTCTGCCCAAATTCCCCAGTGCTGGGTTAGGAGAGGCAGCTCCTTTCTTGGGGGACATTTCTAGCTCACAGGATGAATCCTTGGGGGTACTGAGGGGCCACCCCTGCCCGCCTGGGTCAAAGCCAGCCCAGTGGAGAGTTGAGACAGCACAGAGGACAGCACCAGAGCACCTGGATGCAGCTGTACCTGACACCCAAGCCCTTCATTGATGGGAGCTGATTGGTATCCTCTTCTCCAGCTAATGGAGCAGTTTCTGTGACTTTTTATCATTAAAACTAACGGAAATATTTCAGTCTAGGCCGCTATCTCTTATCTCATTGGCCTTGACAGATCATGTGGCCATTTGTGAGCCAACTCCTGTTGCTTCACTGATTGGCTGCTGATATCCAGACCCCGCCCCAACAACCCTGCTTTTCCCCCACAGTCTAGGCCGCTATCTCTTATCTCATTGGCCTTGACAGATCATGTGGCCATTTGTGAGCCAACTCCTGTTGCTTCACTGATTGGCTGCTGATATCCAGACCCCGCCCCAACAACCCTGCTTTTCCCCCACAGTCTAGGCCGCTATCTCTCCTCCCCCCACCTTCCCCCACCCAGTCCCAAACCCCCCTACTTTCCTTCGCCTCCTGCCACCGTGGCCACTGCTGTCACTGCGTAGCTCAGGGTGAGGGTGGTCACACCGCATGCAGCCCCGCTTCCTCACCCCTGTATGCCCACATGCGCCGGGCCTTCCAAACTCCGCTGCTCAGGGCCGCTCTCTGTGGCCGGGCTGGGTTGTGAAAGGAGGGACAGCTCAGAGTGCAGAGAGCTCCTCCCACCCTGGCTGTGTCTCCTGTCCTGCCTGGAAGGGTTGGGCAGCACCTGGTGACACTGGGGAAAGTGGGGCTGGCCTGGAGGTCCCCTTTGGGGACAGTCGCCCCCAGCAGAGGTGCAGAGTTCAGGCTCAGCAGAGGGCCACACTCAGCGACTTCCGTGAATTTCTGAGACTCTGCCCCAAATGAAAAGCCATTAGATGAAGAAATATTTCCGTTAGTTTTAATGATAAAATTTCTGTGCCTTCTGCCCCGTGCCTAAACAGTTTCTCACAGACAGGAAAACACAGAGATTTCAGGAAAACAAGTTTATGTAAGTAATACACGGAGTGCTAGGTTTGTAACTGAAACGTAGTAACGTGAGGAAGGCCCCCCAGCAAGGAGGGGCCGCGCCCGCAGACAGGTGGGGAGGGGGTGTCTGGGATCCGCCACCAGCCTGGCAGCAGCTTCTAGGAAATCACGGTCACCCTGCCCCAGAAACCAGAGCCACAGCCGTGAAAAATAGGCTCAGGCGAAATCGAGGCTGAGGAGTGCACTTGAGGCGGGGGAAGCGGTAGTGCAGGTCACAGTGGAGGAGCCGGAGGAGTCGGTCGCCGTCCCCCTCCGCCGGGCCTGCCGCACGCCTGCTGTGCGTCCCCGCCACAGTCTCAGAGCGGGGCGCGGGGAGCACGCCCTCCTTGGAGAGCGTCGTGCAGCAGCACCGCCGCTTAGAGCACACCGGCGAGCGGGGTTGGTAGCGAGAAGGCGGCGGAGAGGTCTGAAGAGCGTGCGGCTGGGAGCCCGAGGAAGGGTTCATCTCCTGAGGACTTGCTCCAGCTTTGTCAGCGGGACTAAGGCTGGGGCAGCCACCTCGTGCACAGCGTTTGCCCGGGACCCAAGGCAGGGCTGGGGCTGAAGGCTCTGGGTCCCCCTTGGCCCTGACCCAGCCATGGCTCCGGCTCCTCCTCCCGGGAGGTGCCCGCCCCCCGAAGAATCCCACGAGCGAGGCTGGAGGCAGACAAAACACAAGCTAGGGTTCAGTAATTAAGTGAGAGAACAACCCTGCTTTTCCCCCACTTCCATGTCCCTGTGTGAAGCTGGCTGAATGCTGGGGCCACGCTTCAGCTCCCCCCACCAACACCCCTTTATGGCAAAAAAGCCCACTTCCCATTTCCTTAGGAGGACCAGCCTCTCTCATGCTTGGTCAAGCCACTGGGATAGGATTGGCTCCGCTCAGCCTTGGGGCGGGGTCTGGATATCAGCAGCCAATCAGTGAAGCAACAGGAGTTGGCTCACAAATGGCCACATGATCTGTCAAGGCCAATGAGATAAGAGGAAGTCAGGGATTTCTGGGAAAAGAGCCTCTTTTGCTTTTCCAAGTGTTACAAGCAGAGTTGTGCCATTGTGCCGTCAGATTGGAAGGAGGAAGCTTCAGCTCCGGGAATGCTGACAGCCACGATGGAGTCAGAGAGGGCAATGTGAGGATGGTGTCTACACCCCGGGAGGCAGTGAGGAGAGGCTGGGACACGGTTGTGAGTACCCTCCCTGGGGTGCTGGATCCAGCCTTACCTGAAGCAGTAAATTTTGTATTTTTAAAAAGTAGGAGATCCAATAAGTCCCATTTACTGTTTAAGCCAGCATTTCCTGTTACTGCCAAATGAAATATTCCTTTCTGATCTGCTGGCCTCTGCTCCAGAGAATAGAAGGTGCCCACGTGGGTCAGAAAGAAAGCCCTGACACAGGGGCCATACGCACTAAAGACAGTGCTGCTGTCACCCCACAGAGGGCCGGGACCAATGGCATCGGATGCACAGTAGACCCTTCAGGCTTCCGACAGCTCGTGTGGCAGGCCAAGGCTCAAGTCTCTGTACAGCCTGGGGTGACAGCCCACTCACCAGGGAAAAGAGTTCTGGGTTCAAAAGCTCTCAAGAGCCTCTGGTACCCAGGCACTGAGGGTGGCTGCAGGTGGAGGGGAGCAGACCTGCACCCTGCCTGACACTGAGCACTGCTGGTAAGGATTGAGGACCCAGACCTGGACCCCGCCGGCTCTGCAGAGCCTCCCTCCTTGGGGCTCCACTCAAGACGGTGTGTTCTAGCTGCCCAGGGAACCCTCTCTTGTCTGAACTGATTTTTTTTTTTTTTTGAGACAGGGTCTTGCTATGTAGTTCAGGTTGACTGTAAACTCATTATGTAGCTCAAGTTGGGCTCAAACTCACAGGCATCCTCCTGCCTCCGCCTCCTGAATGCTGGGATTGCAGGAGTGTGCCACCACACCTGGTTTAGAATTGATTTTAAGGCTACTTTCAAGATCCAAGCAGGTGCACCAAGGCTCCAGCCTCCAGGTTGTTCTTCACCACAGAACACTCAGTTGTGTGTCAGAACAACACTGCCTGCAGGGTCCTCTCTGAGCTGCCAGACCCCAATCATGTCCCAGCCCATGTCACCTGCATCTTTCGGGACATCCAGGGCACCTGTGACTTCCTTCTGGTCATTGGTATTTCGCTGTCGGTACAGACAGTCCTCAACGTTTAGTGGTTCAACCCATGATTCTCAACCTTACTGTCTTGGTTACTCTTCTGTCATTGCTGAGACAAAATACCTGACATCCAGAATTAAGGAAGGAAAGGTTTTTATAGCTCACAGTTTGTGGAGGTTTCAGTCCATGCTCGGCCGGCTCCAAGGCAGAGTGGCCCATGGCAGAGGGCAACCGTTCATGGCGGTAGAAAACAGCAAAAGCAGCAAGAGCACAAGGGAGGAGGAGCAGCAAGAGCAAGCCTCTTTCCCTCCCTTACACTGTATGCAAACTACCCGCCCCAGGGTGGGGGTAGCGCTCACACTCAAAATCCCAGCATTGGAGCATGAATCAATCGTAAACTCTAGAAGCCCAACCATGACTGCATGAGGCTTTGGGGGGACGTGCAGACACAAACCATAACAGGAATGCCGACAGCCACCATGGGGGCAGAATGACTCCACAGAAGTGCCAAAGCCCTGTGCATTTAGCAGCAACCGTACTTTGAGTTTTGGATTTTGATCTTTGCCAGGCTTACTCCTAGTGATGTAGTAAGACCCTCTGCCACAAGGCAGCCCCAGTCAGCCACACTAGCACAGGTTGTGAGGGGCCCGGAGACCCCCCGGTGTGCTGCATGGTTGAGAATGGGCAGCAGCTTAGCGCGTTAGGTGCGCCCCGACTGGCGTGTTTTCTACGTACTGTGAGTTTATCAGGACAGAGCCCAGCATAGCGAGGAACAGCTACACAGAGCGCCAGCCTGAGGTGGGGTGATGCCACTGAGATGGGGATGGTCTGGGGCCCCGAGGCTGGGCAGTAAAGCCTGCGCCTCTGCCCATGGGGGCAAATACCCGCCTTTGGTGCTGGGTGCTCCTCACTCGGAGCACAGCCCATTTCCCAGATCAGCACTAAATGCCGAGCTTTACGGTCCCTGGAGGTGTAGGGCCCTCGTCTTGTCTGAGAAACTGATGTGTGTTCTCTGTCACCCACAAGGTGATGCTTAATGCTTTAAAAAAAAAATGGGCTTTTGCCATAGGTTGTAGAGAGACTGGATGTCTGCCGGGGTCACAAGCAGTTGGCAGTCTAAGCATGCATCAGGGGCCATCGCCCCCCACGTAGGCCGTGCCCAGCGGTGCTCCGTGCTCGGCAGCCCTGTGTGTGATCCCGTGCCAGCGTCTCTTTCTCTGCCATTTCTCTTGGGAACTTGAGAAGTGACCGTTGGAGGGGGTCAAAGTCCTGCCCTGCTGTCAGGTGAGATCAGGTGGGAGCGCAGCCCTCTCTCTGAGCCCCTGAAGTACCACTCTGTCCTAACGCCAGCAGGAGCGCTCCTGTCCCCAGGAGTCAGCGCTGTGCCGGTGAACTCTAGTCACCTACTTTTGCACTCAGTACCCAGGTGAAGGGTCCCAGAGCCTGCACGTCCTGTGTGTGCGGAGGTTCCGGACTGCTCAGGGACTGCCCAAGGGCCTCGTTGGGACTTTCTCAGAACAGCCCTGCAGTCGGAGACTCTGTCCCCAACCTCCGCTGCCTCCTTCCTCTCCAGAGCTCGGGCCTCCTGGTGTCCTAGATGCCCCTGCCCCCCACCCCACTTTCCTTCCCAGGCATCTCCAACCCACCCCTGCCCCAGGACCCGCGCTAACACATTTCCTGTCTTAAGGAAGCGGGTAAGTGGTTCGTGGATGCATGTTTCGTTATGCTCTAGGCCTTCTGTATATCTGATTGTGGAAAGACAAGAGGCGTTATCCTTTCCCACCGATCATGTCCTCCAGGGAGGGAGGCAGGGAGAGGCCCCTGAATGGCTGTGGGTTGATAGATCCATTCAGCATTCCTGTCTCCAGCGGCGTGGGCCTCATTCTTCTCATTATGCCGAGGATTTTCCAGTCCCTTTTTGCCAATTAGTGCGGATCATCATTTGGTCCAGGTTCGCGTTAGTGACTTCTGCAAAATGTCAGAACTTCTGCCAACCGCCTGAGAGAACACCCTGAATGCATAATTTCTGGTAATCACTCTCATATCAGTGACTAAAGCCAAGCCCAAGCTCAACCCCCCCCACCACCAAAGCTCCCTCAGGCCCATTCCTATGCATGTACCTCCTGCAGTAGGAATATGCTTCAGAGAACTTGTGCAATTTTGGGGGAGGGTATCATCTTCTCTTACCCACTCCAATTCTACATCTTCATCTGGACCACGCTGAGCCCAGATTCCAAATATTCTGGAAGAAACCATGAGGCTGAGTCACGAAGGAGCTCAGCCGTGGTGCGGCAAGGTTCTTGAATGCTGAGTGTCCTAAGGGTCTTCACGATCCTCGTGGACATTACTATTCTGACAGGATGCCAATATTTCCTGGCCATCTCGTCTCTGTCAGATAGGACCTGGTGAGGCTGTGAATAACTTTAAAATCAATCTCTAAATTCAGTCTTCAGCAATTTCTACTCCATGGCTCTATGCAGTAAAAGATTCTTTTTGCCTGATCATGTAACGGCCCT